GGCTACAATGCACTGTGACTGGCTTGTCTCCTCCCTGCGACCCTTCAGTAAGGGGATGTCTACAGACGGGCTTTGGGTTGCACTCTGCATTCACCCTCATTTACAATGCTATGTTTTTGGTTCTTTGATGTCTGAAACCTCATCCCTTCGACACCTCGTGATCACACAGGCTGGTGTGCTTCTTCCATGTGGGCTTTGTTGGTTCTGAGTTAGATGGCTGCTTGTTTACCTTCAACCCTTTAAGACCCTGAGCACCATTAGCTTTCTTCACCGCATTTGCTTATGTACCTGCTTTGTCAGCAGCAATCATGTCGGGAAGGTGAGCATCTGGGAGTGCCAGTTTAATAGAACAAAGTGTTCTTGCCTTGAGGGAGTATTTGAGTAGAGATGTTACATTTTCAACTCTTCTCCTGCCCCTACCGTAATCATCATCCACGGAAACATTCATTCCCCATACATGAACTCCACCACACCTTAAAAGGTCTCCCTGCGGCCCTGTTTGCTTTCTGCTAAGCCACATCTTGCCTCCAAAGTTCCTGGTCCTAGATGAACTTATTTCCCATGGAACAGGGTGGGTGGGTGGGGGGTTAAGTAGAGTATACAGCAGGGCTTTTGAATAGAAGGAAAGCCATATTTTTCCCAAACCATTTTATTAGTAATAAGGTAAACCCCACCAGTAGACTCGTGCTTGGGATCTGTTGAGGCTTTGGATCTCCAGATTCTGTTGTTGGTGCGGACTGTTAAGTTGGCACCAACTCAGGTCAGCCCCATGTGTACAACAGAATGAAAACACACCTTAGTCCCCCAAAAGATGAACTGCTCTTCAAGAGGTCTTCAGCAGCAGCTTTGTCCAAATTTGTCGTTTGATTTCTTGATTGTTGCTTCCAGGAGGTGTTGCCTGGGGACCAAGTAATGGATACTCTGAAAATATCCATCTTTCCCCATCTACCCTAGTGCTGTGTGAGGATTCCTCCCCCCCTTATTGGGGGCTGTAATCCATTCTGAAGGCTGTAGCCTTGGATCTACATCACTAAATGCTCCAAGTCCTCTTGGTTTTTAGCCAGCAAGCTCACCTCCTCACTTTGCTAAGTGTTCTATGATTTTCTTTGGGAGTTCAGTCACTTGGAAATGGTCTGTGTCTTCAGGGCTTGCTTTTATGTTTTGCTAGGCGGTTCCAGAACATTGCTCAGTCTAGTGCTAATTATTCCCCACCTGACTGAGTGCTCTACTCAGTTCCCCATGAATTTTGTGGTTTCTGCCCCTCCATGCTCCCTTCTGATCCTTTCACGTGGTTCTCCCTTGGCCTCCCATGCTGAGATCTGTGGTCTGTTGAAGCCTCAAAGGCAGTGGTTCTCAACCTGTGGGTCTCACCCCTTTGGGGGTTGAACAACCCTTTCATAGGGGTCGCCTAGGACCATCGGAAAATTGCTCATTTTCCAGAGTCTTGGAAACTATTTCACATATTGTGCCTGTTTTTATTTTTCTCTCCTTTGTTTAATTTAATTAGGATGGTAAATCGAATCTTTGCTACTTTGTTTTAACTGGAGGCAGAGGTTGGTAGCTATTATTTTATTATTCATTCATAAAGTTTAGTGGGCATATTCTCGGAGCCAGGTACTGGGCTAAGTGGCATGCCAAACAAATAGGATCCTGGTGTCACAGAACACATGTCTTATGGGGAGTCACTACTGTGTTTTCATTAGGTGCCAAGAAATGAGTTCTAATTCGTAGGACACAACAAAGCGGTGTCTGATCCTACACCATTCTCAGAATCATTTCTATGTTTGTGCCCGTTGTTGCAGCTAGTACGTCAGTTCGTTTTGTTGAAGGACTTCCTTTTTTGGCTGACCTACTTTACCAAGCATGCTGTCCATCCTGGGACTAGTCCCTCCAACATGTCCAAAGTGCCTGAGACCAAGTCTCACCATCCTGGCTTCTAAGGAGCATTATTCCGGATATACTGCTTCCAACATAGACAACTCCTGAGTTTTAGCCACAAAGGTGCTATCCCCTGGATTTATGAACATGAATCAGACGTAACCCTTCAGGAGGTCAGAATCAGGAAGAGACTAAGGCAAATGTGTTCATAGGAAACAGACCGTGGACATGTTTTATGTGAGATAAACAAAATCAAAGCACACTCACTGCTATCGAGTCAATGCCGACTCCTAACGCCCCCTGTAGGTTTGCAAGACGGCGATTGTTTAAACGAGTAGTAGAAAGCCTGGTCTTTCCCCCTCGGAACTGCTGGTGTTTTCCAACTGCAGACCATGCAGGACCTCTCCTGGGCTCCATGTGTGAGATAGGAACAGTGTACGAAAGAAAAAGCAATTCATTCGGATGGGAAGCAAGGGAAGCCCCAGTGATCCCATTTCCATTTGCCCATCACTGGATCCAACATAGATAAGTGACATCACTCAGGCCAATGAGATGTGAAGGGTAGTCTACTGGGAAAGTTTTACAGTCAGATAAGAGTGGAAACACTTTTTCTCTTTCTCTCTGCCTGAATGTGGAGGATGTCATAAAGCCACTGAAATAACCAGTTATCTTTATTAACTACGGAGCCAACTCAAGACTTCCTGACACAGGTAATAACATTTTCTTATTGCTTAAGAAGTAACATCTATGTCACTTGCAGCAAGATGTTTCCTCGCTGATCAAAACACCCATTTGAAACTTGCATTTCCTTTCCAATGGTTCCATCCTCCGCTAAAAATTTATTCCTTTCAATTCTGTTGTTTGCCTGCTCATGACTAAGGTTCACCTAAGAGTGGCCAGTGGAGTAAACCAGTCTTCCCACAAGCAAGCACGTAGGGAGAAATGAAAGAGAAAGTACACAATTAGGCAGCACAAACTTTAATTGCTTTACAGCATGAAAATGATACAAAAATCATTAAGGGCTTCTTAACTCTCAAAGGCTGGGAGTGGGAGGGGTGGGGGTGAGTAGGCAAGAGAGGCTGAAAATATAAGCTTATGGGCAAGCCCAGGGGAAATGATGTAATCTCTTCCACATTCAGCCATGCTGGAATTCACAGTTAATTCCCACAGGAGCCAAAGCTACTTCTGGACAATCTCTCTGACAGGACATCAACCAGAATAGGGTCAGAGAGTGTGTTGTCCTCATTCCTAAGATTCTGGATCAGTCCCAGGGACCCAGTCTTGACCGTAGTAAGCATTAGGAAAGATAAAGAAGTTAGGACAGATATATTCTTCGTCGCCACTCACTCCCCCTTCCTTTCCCAACTCTCCTTTTTCAGATTCCTTTGCCTCTCACCCCTACTTTTTCACTCAACTATTCTTGTCCTACTTGTCTGATGAGCACATAAAATTCGAAGTCACCTACCTCGGGGCATTTGGATTTACTAGTGACCTCTCAGCCAGCCACATGGAGGTCACATCCTTGACTGCTCACCACACGGATTTGCAATTCGTTGACACTTAGTAAGCCAGCAGATCACACAGTTCTGATACTTAGTAAGTGCTTGGTTTATTGACGGACGGACGGACGGACGGACGGACGGACGGACGGATGGATGGATGGATGGGGCTCTGTTCACATACAAGCACATCACAGCTCTGCAGAGATCACCGCTGTCTTATTTTCCATTGAACTCTTAGCAACTGGTCCTACTACTTGTTAATGAATTGAAAGATGGTTTCATAAGAAAGGTACTTGTACCAATGATCCTAAGGGCAAGAATCAGAGGCTAGCCACCTTCACTAGACTCTCAGGGGTAGGGAGCAGAACCTAGAGCTATGGAGTTGGGCTCCTTTTCCTGACAATGTTTTTATTTTTTTGAGGGCTCCAGGCAGGGTTTCCGAAAGTCTATGGCTCCTCTGATACTTGGCTCAAGCATCAGGCCAGTAGGGATAAGTGTATTTTTTCTGGAGGAAGGGCCATGGTTCTCAAAAAGTCTCAGAATGTGGTCCCCCAGGACAGTGCAGATACAGAACACACCCATCCCTGTGCAAAGCTCTGTGAGACACAGCTTCTCGATAATGACTCCCCAGTCAACGGAAGAACAAGATTTACTAGATCCATAGACGGCTTCTGTAAATGAGTGGCCAATATTTGAAAATGAAAACATACACACCTGGAATCCCAATTGCTTTTGGAGGATGGGCCTGTCTGTCAGCTCTGGGCCTGCATTTCTCATGGACACTCTTGTCTGGAGAGCCCAGGGACTCCTCCCAGTAGTGTGTCCTCTGGGGTGGGTCGCTGCCTGCAAATTCTATTGTCCTATTGTCTGGAGAAAGCTTTGGCTTTCTACTCCTGTTAAGAGTTACAGTCTCGGGCTCAGTCCTATCAGGCCGCTGAATCAGAATTGACTCGATTGCAGTGAATAGGGTTTTGAAGGAATTGTCACCTGGCATTGAAGATGCTCACATGGCATTTCTCGACATTTAAGTTTGCGACCCCCGTCCCTAGGGGACTTCCGGCCGTCGCCTTCTATTGTTTGGAAACTAGGCTCAAATTTGGGTAAGCGAGTTGAATTCGGTTTTCGAGCACATCTGGCAGCTGGGAGTGTGTGCGATTCGGGCCGTCCTTTAAAAGTTGAGGCGGGGTGACTCGGCACGGGAAGAAGACCAGAGAGGGAGTTTTATCCTGAACATCTGTTGCTCAACAACTTCTTCCCGGGCTTGGCTGGAGCCCTCCAGGCCAGCCCCGTTCCCTGTGCCCGCCCCTCGGGGCGCGATCGCTGGGAGGAGCCCGAGTCTGAAACCCGAGCCCCGCGCCCACCACCCGGCCTGGCGACGTGGCTCGCCGACCGGCCGCCCCGGCAGCGGCGCAGGCCAATGGGCGCGTGAGCGGGGGCTGCGAAGCCTCCGGGCCGGGTGCGGACGCGCCCCTCCGCGCGGGCCCGGGGCGGGCCCAGGGCGGGACTGCCCCTTCCCCTGCTCGGGCCCCAGCCCCGCGGGAGCCGGAGCCCCCAGTCCCGAGGCACCGCCCTTGCCGCTCGCTCGGAGCTCCCTGCGGGCCGCCCGCGTCCGCACGGACCATGGCTCGAGGCGGCCGCGCTCGCCGCCTGGCCTTCGCGCTGGGGCTGCTGCTGGCGCTGGCGCTGGCGCCCGGGCCGCTGCGGGCCAAGCCCACCGTGCGCAAGGAGCGCGTGGTGCGGCCCGACTCGGAGCTGGGCGAGCGGCCGCCCGAGGACAACCAGAGCTTCCAGTACGACCACGAGGCCTTCCTGGGCAAGGAGGACTCCAAGACCTTCGATCAGCTCACCCCGAACGAAAGCCAGGAGAGGCTGGGGTGAGTGCGCCCGCGGCGCGGCGCAGGTGCCCACGGGGTCACCGGGCCGGAACCACGCGGGGCGCGCGCGGCAAAGCGAAATCGAAACCAGGCGCGCGGGTCCCAGGGCGAGGCCCGCCCGGCTGGCGGCTGGGCGAGGGCTGGGGACCCCCGTGGGGATGGCCGGCGGGGTGGCTTCCCCGCGGGGAGGCTAGAACGTGGCAGCGGGAGCCTGAGTGGCGAGGGCCCGCCCCCTCCCCTTGGTTGCATCAGGGAGGAGGGGATAGCGGATACAAAAGAAGAGTTTGTCGCCAGGGTGGCCAGTCAGTGACATACATTCTTCCCTGCCCCCTGCCCTCACCCTCTACGGTGCCGGAGAGGTCAAGCCTACTAAGACTGCTAAGAGGATGAACATGCGTGTCTAGACGAGGAAGGCGCAGGCGAGGGAGGGGCTCCTGGGCCGGTGGGGCAGTACTTGCCTTCTGCTGAATTGTCTTGTACACCTACACTGTCACTCACTCACTCACTCACTCACTTACTCACTCACTCACTCACCCATTCACCCACTCACCAATCGATTCCATAGCGACCTTATAGGTCCTGGGGCTTTGTGCACCCTATCATCCTTATCCCATAGAGCGGCTGGTGGTTTCGAACTGCAGACCTTGAAGTTAGCAGCCCAACACACAACACGCTGTGCCACCAGGACTCCTAAAAGCCTGGTTTTATGAAGGGAGAACAGTTGGGGGTAGGTGATGTTGGGGGCCAGATGGACACAGGTCTAGTTTCTGCCCCCAGCAGAGGTCTACAGAGGTGGCTTGGTTGGAGAGGAACTTGTGAAGTTCAGTCCTGAAGGCAGTGAAGTCAACCGTGGAAACACACTTTTGGCGTTTCCAGGTCCCCTCTCACGGTCCCTTGGTGGGACATCCAGGGGTTCTGGAAACCCTTGCACAGAGCCATCAGTGGCCAGTCTGGCCCCAGTCGGAGGCCCAGCTTGGGAAGGCCTTCCATGTCCACTGGGCTCCAGGCCTCTGGAAGTATGCAGACAGGGAGCTTCCTGTCCTCATCCACTGCCAGGGAGCTCATTCCCACTCATAGCGACGCTATAGGACAGGGTAGAACTGGTAGAACTGCCCTGTGTGGATCCGAGACGGTAACTCTTTATAGGACTAGAAAGCCTCATCTTTCTCCCGAGAAGCAACTGGTGGTTTCAAACTGTTGACCTTGCCTAGCAGCCCACGACTACACACTGAGCCAAAGGAACACTGTCATCCATTGACTATCTGGAGCCCACGGAGGTGGAGGAGTTTGGTTAGGATGTGAAATGAAATGAAACCTATTGTGTAGGTGCACTCTCTCCCCGCTCACAGATCAAAAGATCTTTGAACTTCAAAGTCACCTCCAAACAATCGCTTTCTCTTTTACAGAGAAGTACTGTCTCCTTGGTTGGCACTTCACAATGGGGGCCATGGAGGAATTCCGTCTGTTTGGAGGCTGATGTGTCCTAGGGCCCTGAGTGGCAGCATTACCACTGGAAAGAAGAAGGGACAGAGGTCCGGGAACGTGGATTGGGGTGGGTGGCGGGCATTCAGGGCAGCTGCATCCTGATGGGAATGCCTAGTGGTGAGAGCAGGTGCTGGTGGGGTTTGCCTGAGTGTGGCCCATGTGGGATCTCCCTGCTCACCTTCCTTGGTCCAGGCAACAGGCATTTGAATGGTTGCCGTGTGCCAGGCGCCACCTTGGCAGGCTTCAGAATGTTTATAGTGGAACACAGGCTGATGGACAAGTGACAAGACAACACCTGATGGTTGTGATGATGGCACAGAAAAGTACTGGGTGCTTATCTTGGAGAAGGAGCCCTTAGGCTTGAGGGTGAAAAGTGGCGTGGCAGGTGTTTGGGGGGGAAGGGATGTCTTAGAAGAAGTTGCCAGACTGGATATCCCCTTACAGAAGGGTCTTGGGGAGGAGACGAGCCAGTCAGGGTGCAGGATAGCACCGATGAAACATACAACTTTGCTCTAGTTCCTAAATGCTTCCTCCACCCCCCATCCCACCCCCACTATCATGATCCCAATTCTACCTTACAAATCCAGCTAGCCTAGAGGATGTACACTGGCAAAGATAAGAGCTGGAAACACAGGGAATCCAGGACAGATAAACCTCTCAGGACCAATAATGAGAGTAGGATACCAGGAGGGCAAGGGGAAGGTAGGGGAGAAAGGGAGACCTGATCACAATGATCTACATATAACCCCCTCCCTGGGAGACGGACAACAGAAAAGTGGGTGAAGAGAGACATTGGACAGTGTAAGACATGAAAAAGTAATAATAATTTATAAATTATCAAGGGTGAGGGAGGGCGGGTGGAGGAGGGAGGGGAAAATGAACTGATACCAAGGGCTCAAGTAGAAAGAAGATGTTTTGAGAATAATGTTGGCAACAAACGTATAAATGTGCTTGACACAATGGATGGATTGTGACAAGAGTTGTACAAGCCCCCAATAAAATTATTTTTCTTAAAAAAGAAGTAAAAGTTGCCAGGGGAACAAGCAGGTCAAGGCATTCCCAGAGGGACCAGCTCAGTTCTAAGAGCTTTGGAAACCAGTTCTGGGCTTGAGAGTTGCTGGGACACTGAAGGCCCAAGGAAGGAAACAGGAGGGGAGGCGCGTAGAGAGAACCAAGGAAGACGCTCAGGGAGGACAGCCCTTGAAAATGTCACACTTTCCTAAAACCTCCCTGGAAAAGTCAGGCAGCCAATAAGGGCAGAGAAGATGCCTCAGGCAAGCGGGAAGCCCTGCCGTGGGGGAGAGGGTTGAGGTGGAGCCAGTTCAGATGGGCAGAAGAACATGAGTTCAGAGATGTGGGAGGTGGATCTGATGGAGCTTGCCCTTGACTCAGTGGGAGGAAGACAGGGAGAAGTCAAGAGTGCGGTCTGGGTCTCTGTTCTGAGCATGCCCATCTGTGAGATAAAGCTGGACCTCGGGGGTGGGGATGCTGCGTCCGGTTTGGGATGTGGAGCAGTGTGAGATGCCAGCTCTCTAGCTCCATCTCCGATCGTAATGGTCCCCTGCAAGTTGATACGTGGGGAAAGGAGCATGGCTGGATTGGACAACTTTGTCACTGTAGATCCTGAAAACGCGACAACTCTAAGAATGCCTCTTGGTGCACTAGGCCAGAGGTGGCCAAGGGAGGCACCCCCAGGCTGCCTAGGCCACAGATAAGCTACACAGAAGTCTAGAACAGCCATGACTTGCTGACCTTTAAAATTGGGGATTTCATGTCTAGATCCCAATATAGGGTTTCTCTTGAGAGGTATGGGCCAGGTTCCCGGGAGGCAGTCTGTATCTGGAGTGTGGCTGCCTTGCTGGACAGCTCAGGAGAAATCCATCTCCCAGGTGCCATAGGCGGTGTCTGGAGCCTTGTGCCTATTTCTGCTGCTTGGCTGGGTGTTTGTTGAGTTTTCCACCTATCTTAGATCAAGATCATTGTCCCTGGTGAAGAAGTGCACACGTACTCTCTCCTTTAGTCCTCACACTCTTCCTTGTGAAGTTGGTGTTACAAGATACAATTAATAGAGACCCAAACCGCAAAGAAGTCAAACCCACTTGCCCAAGTTGTCGCTCCTTGCCATCATTCTGATTGTGACGGGTGCTGGCCCCATGTGTGAGGAGTAGAATTTCAAGATCCGGACCTTTTGAGAGCATATGGCTAGGTCTTTCTTCCAAGGTGTCTCTGGGTGGGTTTGAACCATCAGCCTTTAGGGTAGTCGTCCAGCCCTTAACCACTTGTGCCACTGAGGCCACACAGATAATAGGGTCTAGAACCAGGAGTTCTGATTAGGGTGCTCTGGTTGTTGTGTTGGTTGGCTGTTGTAGTGTTAGGATGTTGTTCTGATTATAGTGTTGGGTTATTGTACATGCTAGCTGCCATTCCCAGTTTCTCACTCCTGAAATTTTTAAACAGAAATGTTAAGATCGGCATTCTCTGCCATTAGAAATCTTAGCACTTGCTGGGTCAGGCTGAGCTGCTCTGGATGCTGGCTTGAAATGGATTAGATGCTGTGCTTTCATAGATGGGGTTGTACAATCTGATGTTGTTAAGTCTTGGCTAGACTGAGAAGCCTTTATTCAATTGACTAGATAACCAATGGGCGTGTTCTCCATTGGGTCCTCGGATTGAAGCAGTGTTTGGCATATAACAGGGAGGGATGAAGGGAGGGAGGGAGATAGATAGATCCTTGCTGTCGTGTTAACTTTTAGTCATGGAGATTTCATCTACAACAGCGGGTCTCAGCCTTCCTCACGCCGCATCCCTTTAATACAGTTCCTCATGTGGTGGTGACTCCCGACCATAAAATTATTCTCGTTGCTACTTCATAACTAATTTTGCCACTGTTATGATGAATCGTAATGTAATCTGATATGTGGGATGTATTTTCATTTTTACAAATTGAACATAATTAAAGCATAGTGATGAATCACAAAAAACAATATGTAAATATATATTGTGAAGTATTTATTTCTAATTACAAATAAATGAATTTTGTCTTGAAGCATGGTGTAGCATGGGTAACAGTCTTAATATAACAACAGTAAACTACATTGCTACATTTTGCGACAATATGTGTAAAAAGCCAGCATCAGTGCGAAGGTTGAGATAGCTTCTTTCTCACCAGATCAGCACATCTGCTTGTGGGCGGACCCACTGGAGACGGATAGAGGAGCAGAGTCTCACTTCCTAAGACCATGGGAAATATGTGTTTTCTGATGGTCTTAGAGGACCCATGAAAGGGTCGTTCAACCCCAAAAGGGATCACAACCCACAGGTTGAGAACTGCTGATGTTGCCCATTCTTGCTTTATTTTCACCACCCTTGTTGGCATCTTTGAATCCATGATTATAGCCACTGCACCAAGTCATCTACCTATCGCTGGCTTTCTATTGCACCAAACACAATGTCTGCTTCCTGCAATTGAACCCTTCTGATCCCGGGTCCCAAACAAGTAAGCTGACCTGTGCTGTCATCCGTAGGCTGACCTAAATCCTGGATGTTGGATCCACACCGCTTTCACTGGCTAATTTAATTGGATAGATTGCCATGCCATTTACCCTGTGTTCGTGCAGAGACTTGGCTGAAACATGCCCACCCTGGTAGCCCTGTTGATCTTTGAAATGCTAGTGGCATAGCTCCCTGAATCCAGGTACACAGAGGTCACCGCAGTACGACAAACTGACAGGTTTACTGAGCTCACTGCTAGGAAGGAAGTCTGTAGTGGCTGGGATTTCCTGAAAAGAAGCCTGGAGATGCCCACAGTGTAATCTTTCAGCCTTGAGGCCTGTTCGAAGGGCTTGGAAACATGCACCTTAAAGTGGCTGCCAACATTGTCACCATCTTGACAAAACGGATTCCCCTGCTTCAGGTAGATAAGAAGACTGAAAGAAGCAGTGTTGAACTGTGGTTCCCAATGAGAACTTCTGCTCACATTAAGAATGTTTTATCCCAGAGAATGGGGCTCCTCACAAGGGCAGACTGGGCAGGAGAAGACGAGGACTCCACGAGGGGCCTGGCGGATGTCTCCTTCGCCGGAGCTTGGAACAGACGCACAGCTCAGAACAGACTCACAGTGGCAAAGTGATTTCAATGGTTGATGTGGGGCACCCTCCTCTGGGGCCTCATAACCCAATTCAGACTACTCTCCCCCCGTTCAAAAAAAAAAAAAAGAATGTTTTATCATTGGGTTGGTAGAATACCAACCCAAGGCAAAGAAACAATGCCACGATTAGCCAGTATCGCTTCAATATAGGCAAATGGCTACTTGGGTGAAACTTTCAGTTAAAAATGTTGGCCCTAGTTTGTGATTGTCTTTGAAGTTCTCCAGCGGAATGAGGTCCCTGGCTTGGGCCCCTTTGGCCTAGAGATGGAGGATGATCAGTCCTTAGTGGGGGGGGGG